ACATTCTGTTGGCCTTGGTACTCATTCCTTTACTGTGCCAGTCGCACGACACCATAGGCCGGGTAAGTTTTAGCAGACGAGTTTACTTTGATAATTTCATGTATGTACATAAAGTATATAAAGCATTCTGGATACCCCCTTCCCCATAGTGCCCCCCTCTCCACCCGCTGTTCCCACTTCTCCTGTCGAGCCCCTCGTTTCTTTAAATAAGTCCCCTCCTACATTCATGTCTTTTTTGTTGCTGATGTTGTGACCCGCTGAGTTCATTTTATTATTATTATTATTATTATTATTATTAATTTTGTTTCAGTTGACTTTAGAGTTGCTTGAGCGGTATGCAAGTCGCTGTCTACTGGATCAAGGTTTTTGCCATTGCGTATTATGATTTCCCCTCCCCCAGCAACAGCTCCTTAGGGAGCCCCTCCCCCACCCGTGGTGGAATGTTGATGGGGCCCCAGCAAGCCGCTGTGAGTGAGTGCTACAGCCATGTTATATCCAGATACCAGTGTCTTGCAACACCACCCACCATCTTCTGGCTCTTACATTCTTTCTGCCCCCTCTTCTGTGACATTCCCTGAGCCTAGAAGTGGGTGACGTGTTTTCCTTTAGGGCTGAGAACTCACAGTTCACCTATTCTCACACCGTTGACCAGTTTCCAGTCTCTGCAGTAACTGTCAAACATGGCAGAAAGTAGCTTCTCTGACCAGCATTAGAGTGGTGTGCTCTATGGATATGAACCTACACACTGAGAAGGCCATTTGATCTCGTGTCCACTTCACGAGGCTACGGCTGCAGGGCATCTCCCCTCCAGGGCCTCTGGTCTCCACAGCCTCAGCTATATAACACAAGACATATATTCCCTCCTGCGGAGAGCGGGCTCCCAATCCAAGCAGAAAGCCCTTGTTTCCTTCCACAACAGTCATGCCACTAATACACCTGGGGGCACGCGGACCGTCTTGCCTGGCAGATTGGTCACAAAGCTCAGAGGGTTGGCAGCTGTGTAAGATTGCTGATGTCCTTTCTTCCTCAGAAACCTGCATAGCCCTTTCAGGCTCCATGGAAGCTATCCAGCAGAAAGATTCCTGGTCCATTGAATTTGAGTTCTTTATGTCCTGCAACCAAAGTGTCTCACTCTTTTAATAATGCCCTCAAGGTACAATCACGGGGGCTCCACCCCAATGATACTATCTAATCTGAATCACATTCCAAAGGTGACATCACATTATTTTTCCGTCTTCTTCATATCTCACAATGGAGAATCAGTTTAAATGCATGACGTCTTGGGGAGACACTAAAGTGTATTCAAATTGCAGCTGCCTTTGCAGATCCTCAAACTGTGTCACACTCAGAGGGCTTTCTTTGTCTCTGTCCTTTCCGCCCCTCCCCCTCCTTCTCTTTTCCCTGCTCTTGCACAGGTTTACTTGCATGGTGGTCAACTAGAATTTCCAGATTCCTCTTGCTTCCTGGGTCCCACACTGAGGTTTTCTTCTCCCATGAACATCCTGCACATTTAACCCACTCTGTCCTGGCATATAGACCCTGGAAAGGGTCAAAAGACTTTGTCTTTGCCAAGGCTTAGAGTTACATCACAAACAGCTGGGTATTGTGGTGCACGTCTGCATTTGCAACACCTGGAAGCTGAGGCAGGCTGATCCAGCATGAAGTTAGCTTGGGCAATGTGTGTGTGTGTGTGTGTGTGTGTTTATACATAGAGAGAGATAAACATACATACACACCTCTCCCTCTATCTCTCTCTATCTCCTCTCTATATATTCTGTTAGAAAAACAAAGGAAAATAATAACAATAACAACAAAAACTAGATAGGAAGGAAGAACAAAGAGGAGGTAAAGGACAAAGGAGAAAGTGAGGAAGGAAACGGGGCAGGAGGGAGGCAGAGGAGAGCAGAGAGCGTAGAAGTGAGTTAGCCATTTCAGTCGTTTGTCTTCTTTTTATTCTGTTAGCAAAACGGTTATCTTTTAAAAATATTTCCTACCAGTTCTGATTCTGTAAGAGACTAACTAAGCAATGCTATGGAAGGATAGCTGGGATCAGATCTTCTGGATAGGGGGTCCCCTGCCACTGAGGTTTCCACTGCTCTACTGAGAGTAACATTCACTTCTTCATGAAAGGCTCGTGTGCTTCCTACCGAAACACATTTTCAAAGCCTGCCTTCAGTTTCGCTTAACAACTCAGCTGACATAAAACATGCCAGTTTTAAACAGTAGCCAAACGATAACTTAAAACAGGCTTTCTTTTTTTGTGTATGTGTACTTGTGAGTGAGTGTGCATGCATGGAGGTGTGCTGGAGCATGTGTGTGTGCGCGGGTGCTCACGCACGAGTGTGCATGCATGTGGAGGCCAGAGGACAACCTCAGGTATACTCCTCGCACCGTCCACCTCTTTAGTCTTAGTGACCCCACTTGCTATGTAGGCAGACTGGCTGATTCGTGAGCCCCAGGAATCCATCTGCCCGTCTCTACCTGCTCAGTGCCAAGGTAAATTTCCTTTTAGTACAATATTTTTGATCTGTGTTATTTTTAGCTAAGTGAATGTGTATATGTATAAGTATGTGCACTTGAATGCAGGCGTCCACTGGAGTCAGAGGCAATGGATCCGTGGAACTGGAGTTACAGGTGGTTATGAGTGCTGGGAACCTGATCCTGTCCTCTGCAAGAGTCTTATACCTTCTTCATTGCTGAGTCAATCTCTCCACGTCTGTTTTCTTTCTTTTTGGAGATCGAGTCTGTTACTTAGGGTAGTCTCCAAGTCGTAATGCCACTGCCTTTGCTTTCCCAGAGTTGAGATTATAGGTATGCACTACCAAGATTGGCTTCTAAATACAATTTTCTGACTCGTACAAATCTTTCCGAATTTTTAAATTATGTGTGAAATATGTAGAGAAGATTGAGACTGAAGTAGATATTTATGCCTTGAAAATTGTTTACCCTTTATTTTGATTGGTGTCTCAGATTTTCTTGATACTTCTTTGTAAACTTGTAAACTTCTGAATCCTATCTATCTATCTATCTATCTATCTATCTATCTATCTATCTATCTATCT